ATTTTTTCAGTTTTTGGTTTTTTTGTAGTTTTTTTTTTTCCTCCCAAGCAATCCTATTTCCAGGATATTCTGTGGTAGGATACTCTGCGTTTTTTGTGTCCCCCACCAAACCTGGACTATCCCACACCAGGGGCCTACGTCAGGTCCTGGTCGGGCAGATTTGGCTGGGCTGGTCCAGCAGCAGTGGGCGGGGGTCCCTGCTCAATCTGTCTCCCGCCCACTTTGCTCCCAGCAGAGGGATGCTGATGTGGCTGCCGCTTGAATTCTAGCAGATGGGAAGGACTTTTTCTTGCTATCCCATTTTAGGCCCGTTTTCCCACTCCTGTGAAATTTCATTGGTGATGTGTTTCAGATGAAGCCGCATGAGCAGATCCAGCTCTTCAATCCACGGGCAAGATTAAATCCTGTGTCCTAGCTTGGTTTGGCACTTGATGACACGTCTGTCTTACTCCACTAGACTTCCAAGGGAGTGACTGTGTTCTCTTCCTTGACTATAGTTTTGGCCAATGTGTTGCCTGGACTTCAGAGTTCTGTTAAGTTCTTCTGACTTTGACCTCACGTCTTTCTCTCCCTTTGAATTTTTTACCCCTTCCCGTAGTTGTGAAATTCAAACCGCTTTAATAATAGTCTCTCTTTTTTTCTGTCTTTGCTTCTTACCCCTTTCTTCCGTCACACACAGCTAGGTGGTGCCTCTGGGCTTAGCCCTCCCCACCCCCCGCCTCCGGCTGTGACCCCATCACCTTCACGGCCGCCGATGGAACTACTTCCTTTCAGGCGCCCTCCACCCAAGTGCCTCTCCGGCTGCCTTCTTCCACTTGGCCACTCAGATTCTGGTTTTTGGACCTAAAGGGTCGGCATCATTTGGAAGCCTGATAGAAATGCAGAATCTCAGGCCCCACCCCAGACTGACTGGGTCAGAATCTGCATTTTCATACCGTCCCCAAGTGATCAGCATACACAGTCAGGTTTGAGAAGCATTGCTCCAAATCACGCATCTGTGGATTGTGTCCTAGTTAAGGGAATAGGGAATTAGAACCCATTCATTCTGTAGGGAGAATTGGATAAATCTTTTTTTTTTTTTTAATCATACCCATTTATTCATCTTTGGGCAACACTTTTGTCCGTTTTAGGGATAGGAAGAAATGAATATGTTTGGGAATAATTGGCTTTGCCTATCCTGTGAGTGAAGTTAAGGTTTTGGGAAAAGCTTGGATAATATAGCTGATGGAAGGATTCAAATAGCAGCTATCATCATTGTTTTGAAAAGAAATGGAGAGGGACGCCTGGATGGCTCAGTCGGTTAAGCGTCTGCCTTCGGCTCAGGTCATGATCCCAGGGTCCTGGGATCGAGTCCCGCATCGGGCTCCCTGCTCAGCGGGGAGCCTGCTTCTCCCTCTGCCTGCCACTCCCCCTGCTTGTACTCTCACTCTCTCTCTAGCAAATAAATAAATAAAATCTTAAAAAATAAGAAAAGAAAAGAAATGGAGAGCAGAGTTCTGTGGAAAGGACATTTGATTCACAAAATATTTATATTTTCAAAATATAAAATTTAAAAATAGTATGCAATTTTCTTAATCAGTTCAGGCTGTTATAAGAAAAATTCTGTAGATTCGATGGCTTTTAAACAACAGAAATGTATTTCTCACAGTTCTGGAGGCTGGAAGCCCAAGATCAAGGTGCTGGCATGGTCAGGTGGGGGCCTTCTTCCAAGTATAGACTTCTTCCTGCTTCTTCATGTGGCAGAAGGGGCAAGCTCGCTCTTTGGGGTATCTTTTATCATGGCACAAATATCATTCATGAGGGCTCCATCCTCAAGACTCAGTCACCTCTCAAAGGCCGCCCCATTTCCTAATACCATCAGCTTACAAATTTTGCAGGGGGCACAAACATTCAAACCATAGTGGAAATATAAATATATACATGTAAAAATTTGCATCTCTCTAGAAGGCAGCTAAACAAAAGGCTTCTGTATAAACCGAAATAAGGGTTGGATAGGCAGGTAGAACAACTCATTCCTTCTTCTTTAAGTGCATGTCTACACTATTTGTGGAAATACTCTTTATCACGGGGGTTCGGTGATAGCACAGGTCATACGCTGAGGCAGAGTGGCTGGGGTTTCTCCCTAAGGCAGGTTCCATCATGTCATTGAGCATTAGAGGCTCTACTTGCATGGAAAGGCTTGTGCAGGAAATTGGCTGGTGTAAGATTTGGGGTATGGTCCCCTAGCCAAGCGGTGAAGAAGGACAGTGAGGCTGCATGGAAGGAGAGTGTAGGTTAAGGGTGGTCAGACCTTTGCAAGTCCGCTCTGAGGTTTCCCATCTCTTCTTCTATCTGCCCTTATGTTGCTCCTTGGGGTGTATTAGTAGGGGCAGTAGCTATGTCCCCCAGCTCCTTTTTAAAAAGATTTTATTTATTTGAGAGAGAGAGAGAGAATGCAAGCACGAGCAGGGGGAGGGGCAGAGGGAGAAGCAGACTCCCCACTGAGGGAGCCTGACCCGGGGCTCCATCCCAGGACCCTGAGATCATGACCTGAGCCGAAGGCAGCCGCTTAACCAACTGAGCCACCCAGGCGCCCCTGTGTTCCCCACCTTTTTTCTTTTAAATCCTTAGGACCTTTAAAATGTCCAGCTGGTAACTCTTAGACCCCAAATTTTAAAGTATTAGAATTTGATGAGTTATATCCACAGGTTATTTAAAAGAGTTTCTCCCTGGGGCGCCTGGGTGGCTCAGTCGGTTAAGCGTCTGCCTTCGGCTCAGGTCATGGTCCCAGGGTCCTGGGATCGAGCCCCACATCGGGCTCCCTGCTCCGCGGGAAGCCTGCTTCTCCCTCTCCCACTCCCCCTGCTTGTGTTCCCTCTCTTGCTGTCTCTCTCTCTGTCAAAAAAGTTAATAAAATCTTAAAAAAAAAAAAAAAGAGTTTCTCCTTAGGTTAATTAAGAGTTTTTTTTCCCTTTCTCCCTCCCTCTATCCATCTCCCCCCGTTCCCCTTTTTCCCCTCTCTCACCCCACACACCAATGCTCCCACGCATGCACATGTGCACCCCCCCTCCCCACCACACACACAGTTTGCCACTACAATGTTGGAGAACCTGATAATCTGGGTAGGAAGTGATACCAGTCATCTACATGGAAAGCATGAGAAAACGTGTTTTTCCAGACTCTGGCCCGATTTTGCTTCCGTGCAGAAGAATTTCCTTCCATGTAGGCATTGGTTATTCATTGGTTATTTATTGTTCATTTTGATTAATGATTTAAAAGTTTGGAGCTCGAAAGCTAGACAAGCATTCATTTGCATTGGATGTAAAATGGTGAGAATGTAGAGCACCCATACTTTCAAGAAACATTATTCTCCTTTCTGTGAGCAAGGGGGGCATCTGTGTAGAGAGGGCCCTACCTAATTCTGCAGGCCTCCCAAGTGGGCCATCCATTCCCACAGTGAGCAGCTGCTGGTGACTTGAGATAGGACTGGTCCGGGCAGTGTTCCATTTCTCCTTCAGAGGCGTCTTGTGGTATCAAAACCTAACACTTGAAACAGGTGGAAACTGGACCTCGGGTTTCAGATCTTGTTCAAAGGACAGGAGTAGCCGACTTGAAAAGTGTCAGATTTAGAAGACCTGTAATTAGTTAAATGGTTGAGGGGAAGGATGAAGGGAAAGTATTGCTATATAATGAAGATGGAAAAAATAGTGATTTTCTTCTATATTTATCCTTGGTAAAGGCACTTGTAACACATACACAAACCTTAGTATATATGTTTATATATGTCATGGTATTTTGGCCAAGTTATCTGACATATAGGGTCTTGGCAATTGGAGGATCAAGTGGGACTGGATATGCAAATTTGCAGCTCCAATTGGAATATTCTGGCCAGGAAATTAGCAGTTAATTCAAAGTTAACTAGATGCTCATTATTATTGAAAATATTTGTAAGATGCATAAATACACTTTTCTTTCATCATAAATACATAATAGCATAAATAAGATTTCTTTGGTGACTTATGTTATTTTTTGCGGCTTTTGGACAGCACCTTGAAAGCCAGTTATGCTGGTCTGGTGCCTTTAATTGAGGGTTAGCATTTGACTGAAGCTTTATAGGAGAAATCTGGCAATAACTTAAAGTGACACATCAAAACCAAGGGGAACTTGAGTATCGCAGGAAAATGTGGTTTATTGAAGTAACTTATTGTTTGATTTCAGAACTTTATTGTTTTATGTCTCTGTATGAAAGTTATTTCTCCTCAGTAGTAGTGTTTCCTGCACTGTGACACACAAAGCATTATTTAATTGCATTGTTAATATGGATTCAACTATGACAGTTTATCTACTGCGGGACTTCTCAGAGCCTTTGACAGTACTAATATTCCCTGTGACCCTGTTAGAGGGAGATGTAGGACATGACGTTCCCCAAGCTTATCACTTTGCCTGCCTCTCTCCCTTTTTTTTTCTTCATGGACTATCTACCATGAAATAGACTTTGGGAAATTACGCTCTTGTGTTTTCATATGTATTTGCTCATTTATAACATCACAGCAGTCCTAAGAGACAAACAGTTTTGGACGAGGGAGGAGCTAAGGCCCACCGGAGCTGAGGCTGGCCGTGGGACCCCGTCCTCTGAGGACTCACTCATTCTTTTCTCTCTCCATCCAGGCCTTCGGTGCAGGTAGGAGGCCCTCAGTCCTGTGTGGCAGGGCTCTCTGCTGCAGAGTAGGGGGTGATCTGGGTGATAGGCCCATCTGAAGTTTCTCTGTCCTGTCCTTCAGGTCCACAGGGCTCTCTGGTCTCGGGAGAGGCCTTTCTCAAGTCTAGCACGTTGATGATGAGGGTGAATTAGTTAGTTCTCATGTAGCTTCATTGAACTCAAGGTTTAGGCAGCGCCCCCAGGTAGGCTTTTAAGTAAGAAAGGTGCCCAGGTACTCAGTTGTGGTTTCCCTTCTGTTTTGTTTCCTGATTTTTTGCCCCAGGGTACTATGTCATGTTTTGTTTTGTTTTGTTTTTTATAGAAGGAAATTCAAGCCATGAGTCAGTGCAGCCATCCCAATGTAGTGACCTATTACACCTCTTTTGTGGTAAAAGATGAACTTTGGCTGGTCATGAAATTACTAAGTGGAGGTAAGTAGGTTTTGTGATTTGCTTGTTGTTGTTGTTTTTTTTCCTTTTGTGTGAGCCAGCGTATTGACTAAGACTTTAAATTTGGTCCCCTCCCTTTTGTATTTAAAAGTTTTGCTTGTTTATTATTTACCTAGAGAATAAAGCCTGGATTGCACTGCCTCGACTGTCTGTGCCTTCTCCGTGGAGGGGAGGCTCCCTAAGTATCTTCTGTGCTCTCTCTGTCCTCCTACACCTCACCTGCGTGGCTCCTCAGCCCAAGAGGTCTGTCCTTCCTTCTCCAGGTGATCAAGTCTGAACACCGCACATGCTCTCTGCAGCCTCCCCCATGCTCATCAGAAAAATTAACCAGTCCTTCCTCTTTAAACTCTTTGTTTTTAATATTATTCGAGTCCTTACTACATCGCAGTATAATGAATTCTTCCAGTGCTGTTCGTTCAGAGTTCGTTCAGTGATGATGGACATGTTCTAGAGCTGGGCGCTCCAGTTTCTACTAGGCACATGTGGCCCTTGAATACTTGACTTGTGGCCCGTGTTCCTGAGGCACTGAATTTCTATTCAGTTTTCATCAGCGTCTATTTAAATAACTGCAGATGGCCCGGCCCGCGGCTGCAGTGTCAGACGGGGCAGATTTAGATTAGATTCCGACTTGCCGAGGAGAGCACGGTCTCCTGTACTTCTCATTTACTGAACCTGGCACCCAGTGGGAGCTCAATAAATATTGCTTCAGTTGAATGGAGAAGAGCTTTCTGCAAGTTGATCTGAAGTGGCACTATTTTCATCCTGTGTTTGCATTTGAAAAACAGAGGAGCTTTCCCTCTGGCCTCAGGTCACCAGAGTTACAAAAGCCACTGACAGTTTACCTTACAAGACACTTTGACATTCCCATATTTTTCCTTTAATCTTTTACCATCACTATTTGATAAAGAATGGTAATGAGAACCATTAACTTTATGGAACACTTACTCTCTGGCTAGATCCTGTTCAAGGCAATTTACTTGAATCTGGACAGCATCTTTGAATGGCAGGTGTCACCGTCCCTGCTTTTCAGAAAGTTCCCCGAAGCTCTTGGGAGAGTTAGGCAGCTCGCCCAAGGTCACCTACATAGTAGTTGTTAGTGCTGGAAAGAAGTGGTGCTGGGACCTGTTGACTTAAAAGCTACGAGATGCCGCAAGAATTATCACCTTCATTTTACAGACAGGGAAATGGAAGTTTAGGAAGCCCAAGTGATTTTCTTTGTAACACCCAGCATCTCTCACTCCTTCTGTATCTTTCCCAGACATGAAGTATGGTTTAGGAGCAGAGGAGAACATTTTGAGGTGCCTGGATGAAGCCCAAACTGGCACCGCAGAATTTATATTGTAGAGCCCATTTTAATCTGCAGACCTAGTTCCAGTGAAGGCTGACTCGTGGTGGTGGTGGTGGTGGGGGGGCAATCTTAATTTCTTTCCTTTTTTTTTTTTTTTTTGAAGAAACTCTTGGATCCAGCAGAGGCCCAGAACCGAGAGGACAAATATGCCGTAATTGCCTTGGGTCTGCTTGTGCAGGTCTCAGTGGGGAGCCTGGGAGAGCGGAGTCCGGTTCTGTTCCCAGTCTTGTCAATCCTATTAGTCATTGTTTCCATGAGGGCCTACTTTGGTTTTTAATTAAACATGAAAAGAAAGAAATGAGGGAAAAAAGAAAAAGGCAGCTTGCTGGAGCCAGACTACAGTGTTGGAGGGTCGGGACTGCCCCTGGGCTCTGGAAGACCTGTGCTTTGGCAGGAAGATGACCTTCACCGAGCCTCTTCTTGCTTGGTTCCCCCAGCTCGGAGGAGACTGAGAAATTCTGGTGACCTGGGACCCTGGGCAGCCCCAAATACTCAGCTCAGGCTGAGGATTTTGCTTCCTGTCTTTATTTTGATCCCAGTTAACCTTTTATAAGCTCGAAAATATCCCCAATCCCCTTGCCCGAGGACTTGAAAGAAAATGTCATTGTCTTTTTAAAAGAATCCAATTTCGTCAGCCTCCCTGGGCTTTAGGTAAGAAGAACAGGTTTTAAACGGGTTTCTACAGGTCTGGGAGACCTGGGCAGATGTGGACTCTTGCTCATTTTTCTTTTAGCAGGCCAGAAATGCACACATGCCTGGTAGGGTATATCCTTATAAGATAAAAATGAAACATTTTTGGAAGTCTCATTTTCTCAATTATTAACAAATTTAAGAATCAATGAATAAATAGATGTTTCTCTGAGGGGGGAAATATGCATTTGTTTTCTTTTATAATATTTTATCCCATTAAATCTTTTAATGAGGGGCAGGCAGCTAGTCTGGTGTAGTAATACCTGATGGGGAAACTCAATTCTCCCAGTTAATCATAGAGAGCCTGGAGCCAGATTCAGATCCTGAGGTAAGCCATTTGTTAACTCTTCAGAAATGTTGAACCCCCAGGTAATTATGGCTTTTAAAATGACCAGGAGGTTTGGAATATTAATTAATATGTGTTGAAACATGAACTCACAGTGCCAAGGATACTAATCTGTTTATGGTAACAAAGTACTGTGTATTTATTTCATTATGGAAGTCAGCGCATTATGCATCAAGTGAACAAAAATAAAGATTGCCGAGAGTCACAGAAAGGAAGCTTCTGGTTATAAGCAGGGGTCCAGTGGCAACATACTTTTTTTTTCTTCCTTCCCACCTGTGTTCTAGATGTCCAGGAAGATCTGCGCTTCTGTCTCTCATCAGTTCACAGCTGTCTGTTTCCCTGGCCTCTTCCTCCTTTGGTTTTTCACTTCAAACATTTTGAACCCTGTTTTGAGCCTGTAACCAGTTGTGTATGTGTAGGAGAAAGGAATTAGCCCTGAGGTGACCCTGAACAATCTTGTGGTCCCTGACCCGGAATTCTTCTCATGCCGGAAGTGCTCTTGCAGACTTGGATATAGGGTTTCTGGTTCTGTGCCGCCATGCAACTGTATGCCTTGGAGGGGGAGATTGTGTTAAATAAACCAACATATTTTGACATTTCCACTTAATTTTCTAAATAGCGGAGCCCAACCTAGAAAGGTACCGAAGATGCTTACACAAAGTTTTCACTTCTGTCTAGGTTCAATGTTGGATATCATAAAATACATCGTCAACCGAGGGGAACACAAGAATGGAGTACTGGAAGAGGCAATAATAGCAACAATTCTTAAAGAGGTTTTGGAAGGCTTAGACTATCTGCACAGAAATGGTCAGATTCACAGGTAGGATTTCTGCAAAGTTATTTAAATTCAGCCATTTGTATCTTTAGCTCCGGCTTGTAAAGAATATTAAGGGAACATGTGTTGCGGGTAGGCATCAACATTATTTCAGAGCTAGGCCGAATAGATGTGGAGAAAGTACTTAAGAAAGAAGCAAGTGAATACGTTCGGATGAAATATATTAGTACCCGCAGGACTGGCTTATCTGCTCTCACTGAAATAGAAGCAGAACATAAAAAGTACCGAGTGAGCTCATTAAAAAAAATCAGTTAACATGCTCCTCTTGAAGTAGGCTCAGTTGAGCAGGATAGCATCTCTGCCTTTCTAATGTAGGCAGAACTGGTCCAGACATTGTAATATGTTCATTACTTTTGGCATGGTGGTGTGAAGAAAGGGGGAACTAATTTCATCTTCTTTTGTGACATGAAATGCTCATTCTTTCAGTAGCCAAACAGCCTAAAATATGAGTGTTTGATGTTTCAAAAGGGTTCGTGTTACTTGGGCCCTTAGGAATAGCTGCAAGTAGGGGCGCCTGGGTGGCTCAGTCGATTAAGCGTCTGCCTTCGGCTCAGTTCATGATCCCAGGGTCCTGGGATTGAGCCCCACATCCGGCTCCCTGCTCAGCGGAGAGCCTGCTTCTCCCTCTCCATCTGCCTGCCACGATGCCTGCTTGTGCTCTCTCTCTCTCTGTCCAATAAATAAATAAAATCTTTTTTTTAAAAAAAGGAATAGCTGCAAGTAAATAGCCATTTATTAGTAATACTCACATTGTAATTCCCCTGCCTTGAGCTCTACGTGGCCTATATATTTAAGGATATTTGCCAAGTGTTTCAGTAGTTAGAAAAAAAATATTACCTTAGATATCAAACTTGTAAATTGTCATTTTTCTTTTGAAGAGTTAAGACTTCTATATGGTGAAGAAATATATTATAGAATGTTGTAATTAGTATTTATAGTCAGCATCTCCCCAGAGGAGAGGCTGATCCAATCCATTGTTTAAGAAGCCACCGGGATTAATTTGGAGTTGCACCCCAGACACATTTGAGTGGAAGTAGAACAGCTTTACATAGAATTTTCAGCTTTAATTCTCGATAAAATGATGGTATGGTGAGTCAATGGACAGCCTCTAACTCTATAACATAAAGAATGTACTCACTACTGATTTAATTCAATTTGGATAATGATTCCATATAAACTATTTGTTACTAAAATCCTAACCATCTCCCAGGAGCAAGCTATATAAAATCACAACTTATCCCTATAACTTAAAAAATCTGTGATATAATTTTCATATTTATAAAATGTTAATTATGTTAAATAGCTACATTATGTGATGTGTTTTTAAATCTCTCTGAGTGGATTAATGCAATATAATGTCTGTATTCCATAATTTATTCTCCATTTTTTTTTTCCTAACAGGGATTTGAAAGCTGGTAATATTCTTCTGGGTGAGGATGGTTCAGTACAAATAGCAGGTAAAGCTGATAAAAATAAAAATTCTTTTGACAGAAATGTTACAGTTTCAAGGAATATCATTATTATCATTTCAAGGGATATCATTCATTATCATTCCAAATAAATAATGAGTGAATGAATAAATGAATGAATGAATGAATGCCTGTAATCTATTTTAAGAATGTATCTGGGCTGCCCTGTTCTAGAATGTTTGGGTCTGAGGCAGAATATTTTTCCTATTATTATTATTTTTTAAGATTTATTTGAGAGAGAGAGAGAGTAAGTGGTGGGGAGGGGCAGAGGGAGAGGAAGAGAGAAACTCAAGCAGACTCCCCGCTGAGCGTGAGATCGTGACCTGAGCTGAAACCAAGAGTTGGACGCTTTACCAACTGAGCCACCCAGGCACCCCCCTTTTTTCCCTATTATTTTGATAAATTTTTGTTAGATCATCCAATAAACAGTGCTATTTCAGAACATAGCCTTTTGATAAAGACAATTTTACTTTCAATTTTATTTTTTCTACCTTTCAGGTTGAATAAAGGTGGTATTTACGTGACTGCAAGAAAAGCACTTTTGAGAGTTTTTCTGACGAGTTTGAAAGTTTAAAACACTGTACCCTTCTATTAATTTAAGCCCCTGGACTTCTGAAGAGGTGGCTGAAAGCATTGTCAACCCTTAAAGTCTCTGGGTTATTTTGGTCTTACACCCACCCGTGTGCCCATGCCTGGCTGTTGATGGCAGTTGGCCTGCAGGTGCAGTGGGTGTCTGTAGAGGGAATGCACCAGACAGGTGGCCTCTGCGTGCAGAACTTGTCATTTTGTTATTGTGCCGAGAGTAACTGGAAAGGCCTGGGATAAAATGTAGCCGTGTCTATATTGACTCTTGTTTCACCCCATGTCCAGGAAGGCCTGCCTCCACCATCCTCTCAGCCATCTCTGCTTTTTGCATTTTTGACTGGACGGTCCTTCCTTGACCTGCACTGTCCCCGTCACCGCAGGGTGCTCAGCCCTCTGGCTTCCAGGCACTGAATATTACTAACAGCATGTCCTGGCAGCATCCTTGGCGCGAATCGTTCATGGGGCTCCTATTGTGGAAGAGCACCAAATCTCGCCCCAAATCTTTCATTAGCCTGGTATGCTGCTCTCTGAGTTGGAGTGGAAGAGGCCTCTCTTCCAGTATTTAGGGTTTAGGGTCTTTGCATATCAAGTTCTTAGAGCAGAGTTGATCACACTCCTTGGTTCTAGTTTTGTTTCTGGACAAATGCGAGGATCTGGGGTATTATTGGAAATGCGAGAGCTCAGCAGAAAACAAACACACCCCCAACACAAAGGATAAGCCTTGAGTCATCTCTTTGATTCATTGTTTGTTCCTCTCTAGGTGCCAGAGAACCTGTCAGGTGATGCCTGGTCTGTATGACAGGCACAGTGCTGACCTTGGGCTCTGTGTTTAGTTGGGTACATTCAAGGGGACTTTTATTTATTTCCTTTTAAAGGGGAGAAAAGATGTTTTAAAAATATAGAAGGGAAACAGAATATATTTCAAATCAAATGTTTCTTCCCTGGAAAACTAATAATGAAAGCGTTATCCTTTATTATTCCTCTCATTGAAGAGATACATTGAGTCAAATACAGTCATTGGCTTGAGACCACTGTGGAGGCACTCTGTGTATCAGTTAAACACGGAGCCTTGGCATCAAACAGGCCTGGTTTCAGATCCATGGAGCAGAGTGGGGCAAGTTGTTGCATCTCTAAGCCTCAGTTTCCCCATCTGTGAGATGGTGATGATTGATACTGCCTATCATTCGAGAAGACACAGATATCCTGTGCGCCTGTTGAAACTTAAGATTCAGGGTCCTGTAAGTGCTTTGTATTTCTGGGAGTTGCAGACTGTTCTAGGTGGAGAGGAGAAGCCAACCTGCAATCAGGAGGTATTTCTGTGTAGGCATTTTTGTTAAGTTGTCTAAAGCTATTTCAGAAGAAAGGAACTTATTAATCCTTAGGACTCCAGTGAATCGGTATGAATTTTTAATTTTAAAGAAATAGACATATTCATACCTAACTTTGATTTTTAATTTTGTATTGTCTGTATTACAGAGGGTTTCCCAAATTGTGTAAGCTTCATGTCCCATGAAACAACTGCTGATATGGTTGTTAAAATAAGTACGTAAATGTGAGAAATGCTTAGTACACCCAAAATGTGCAGTAGGCAGGGATAACATTATAAGCTTATTTATTGGAGCACTGTTTCTGGTTGCAGGAGATTGGAAACAACGTAGGTGTCCCAGTTAAATATGGTAGATGGCCTCTCTGCATTATGGGAGAGCCACCAGCTGTCATGGAGAATGAAAAGCCCGCTATACACTGATGTGAAGGAAAAAAATCTCCAGGCTATGTGGTTAAGTGAATACAACAGGGTGAAATAGAATGTGTATGTCACCTTTTGTGAAAGAAATGGGAGAAATAAGAATATCTCTCTATATTTATACAAAGAAACATTAGAAGGATAACGAGGAGTGGGACTGTGTGGTGTGTACCCTCTATAACGTTTTGAATTTTGAACTGTGTAAAAGTATGACCTGGGGAAAAAAATGACAGGAAATGACTTAATAAACTTCATAAACTGTCAATTAGTCAAAGTCATTTTTAAACCGTTTATGGTAAAAATTTTCATATGTAGCCTACAGTAGAAAAGAGTAGGAAGAACCTCATGTATACCCATCACCCGGCATCAGTAATGATCATTAATTCATGTATCTTCCCCCTCTCTACTTTGTGGCTCTTATTACTAACACTGAATTTTGTCCTTGAGCCATCTAAGTTAGTGCCTTATGTATGCATATCTTTTTTTTTTTTTTTAAAGATTTTGTTTACTCATTTGACACAGAGAGTGAACGAGCACAAGCAGGGGGAGAGCGGCAGGCAGAGGGACAGGGAGAAGCAGATTCCCCGCTGAGCAGGGAGCCCGATGCGGGGCTCGATCCCAGGGCCCTGGGATCATGACCTGAGCTGAAGGCAGACGCTTAACCGACTGAGCCACCCAGGGGTCCTAACATATCTTGTTCTTACACTAGAGAGTGGCCCTGACCCCGCAGGCTAGGGGCATTTAGAAAAAAAAAAAAAAACTTCAACAAAACAAGTGACAACTGGAAACGTCTGTGGACAGAAGCTTCAGACTCTCCCACCTCTGAGCACTCAAGTTCAGGGTGCAAGGTCGCGGATGAACTGGCATGGTGGAGATTCCCAGGTCACCACTCAAGCTCTGTGACCTTGGTCAGGCTACTCAACTTCTATAAGACTCTGTTTCCTTAAAGAGGGATACAGATATCTCCCCCTCATCTCTCCTTGTGGCATCGAATGCGGTTCTTCCCACCCAGCGATGGTAACAGTGGCTGGCGCATGGCGTGCAGGCAATAGCCTCTGTGGTTCTTGTGTTACTCTTCTTACTGTCGCTGCTGTTACTGCTTTCATTGCCACCGACAGGCTCGCACTGACCCTCCCCTGCACCACCGGCAGGTCATAGGTACCTCAAATTAGTCTTGCTAGGGGTTCAGCTCTGAGGGGCTTGTGTGAGTTATAAAAAGCTAATGTTTATTAATTATGGAACTTGGAAGTTACTTTGTCATTAATCTTGTTCTAAGCTGATAAAAAAAAATATGACTGATTTTCTCTCTGGTGATGAAATGATCACTGCTCACTAAGAGGGTCAAAATAGCAGTGAACTGCCTTTGACATGCGAAGGCAGGTCAACCCTTGCCTTATTCTGCCACTTGGTGCTTTGCCAGTCACTTCATCTATTATTCTTGTCAGATTAATGACCTGAGCTCTTTCTCCAGGCCTTCTGTAGCACATCGGCCTTTTCTTTTCCTCAGTTGGGATCCCTTGAAGTAAGATTTCCTGAATTTCTCTCCCCCTCTTGGGCCTTGGGTATTTTCTCCTCACCATGGATGGTGGTGTTGCTTGCACCATGGGGGCTGCTGGGCTCAGAAGGGCACGTGGGGAAAGCCACCACCCGGGTTGTGGTGTGTGAAGTGCTAAGCCTGGTGCGTAGGGAAGGCTTTGTGTACCACCATTCTGGGCCCTCGCTGTCATCCCTTCCGAGCATGTGACTTCCTGCGTGTGCCACACTATGGGCTGAAATGGCCGTTTCCCGGATGTGTGATGGGGGGGTAATAGGCATTTATTTATTTTTATTTAGTTATTTTTTTTTGAGAGCGAGCCAGCAAGTACAAGCGGGGCGGGGTGTAGATGGGGAGGGGCAGAGAGAGAGAATCTTAAGCAGGCTCCACACCCAGCACAGAGCCCAACGTGGGGCTCGATGACCCTGAGATCCTGACCTGAGCTGAAATCCAGAGTGGGTCACTTAAGTGACTGAGCCACCCAGGCGCCCTGGATTAACAGGCATTTAAACTGTACAGTTTCTACATCTCTGGGGCTATGGCTTTCTAGAATTCATATTCAATTTTTTCCATACTCTTTAACCTGAGCACAACATCGAATTCCTATGGTACTTAAAATAATTATAATAATAATAACTATTATTATTATTATTTTGGTTTTAACTCTGAAATAAGGTTATTGCTTTAAGAAAACACTTGTAATGCTTCCTTGGAACAGACAGATGCTGATGCTATCCCTGTTTTCTAGGAGTTTGACTCTGTTGGCCAGGCGACTGGTTACTGCCTGAATGAGAACGGGGACCAGGAGTCTCTGGGTCTTTTGCTGCTATCTTTTCTGGTGGGTGAAGTAGGGGAGGTGGGTGGAAGGGTTGAAAGCTGCCTATTATATTTGGGTAGATAATAAATTGCTTTTGTTCAGGCTGTTTGTGCCCTTTCTCTTTGCATCTTTATGTTCTTTAAGCCCTATTTTTTGAAATAAAATTTAAGCAGGAGAGAAGTTTGCATTTACTTCTTTGAATGTAATATTTGTTTACCTTGAGAGTATTGTTATGAGCATTGCTTTTAAAAAGAGTATTTGTGCTCTTCTAATAGAAAACAATTTTTATTTAAATCACTCTACCATTT